AATATCAATTTACATAAATTGAGGTTGTTTCCCATATTTATTTTATTCTTATTGGCATTACATTAAAGGTAATAATTACTCTTAACAGTAATAATTTTTTGGAACCACGCCTGATAATAGAAGAGTAAAATGGTCTAACATAGATTCTTGAATTCAAGTCTCCTAGATATTAATAGGGATGATCACTGAAATAATTTAGTCGATTGTTTTTTTAGGATCTTAAAAGATTAATTAAGATACGTGTAAACAGATCCAGACACTCCTGATCACCAAAAAAGATTTGGAATAATGAAAAATAGATACTTGAGAGTTGAGAATCATTTCAAGTTCCTTAATCTTGAAAATAAAAAGATTTTTCAAGAATAAAATTATAAAATAAAGCGTTAAAGTAATATGTTAATTTTATGAAAATGATTTATAATATAGTTTGTGAAAGTTTGTATACGTAAGAAATAGAAATTATAGAATACGCAGAAGGAATTTGCATCGTTGAAATGAACAAGTTGGGGAAACAATAATTTAATTTTGTGGGGCAGTCATCATCTGCAATTATGCCCACACATTTAAAGCGCAAACGTCTCAATCTCGGCAATTTGCTTTCTAAATGGAGGAAAATCATGATTTAATATTGAAAAATTATATAAGTTTTATGTAGTGCTCATTCATTTGAAAACTGTTATGTATAATCAAATCAATTTCATCCATCAAAGTCCTTTGAAATTATTTATCAGAATCGAGACCTTATAACCAACTATCTTTATCAAGAGATATTATAAGTTGATATTGCATTCAACTTGAATTCTGTCATATTTGCTACAGTTTTATCAATTTGGTCGGTCGCCTTCCCCATTTCATCATTAATAATCTAACAGACCACTTCTTTTTCTTATATCTTCTACTGGCTCGTTCAAGATTTGGGTTAAACTTTGGACAGTTAAATGAGCAAACCATTTTTTTTTCCATCCAAATAATGACTTAATAACACCTTTTTAACCACAAAACTTTTAAAATACTACTTTATTACTCAAATTTATATTTCATTTTCAATTCCAACATCATTGCGATCCCACACTATCACAATTCTCTTCTTCGATCATCACTCACTTAAAACCCTCAAACCCTATTCCTATTAACCCTATCAATCGTTGGCAATCTAACGATTAGGGTTTGTACAACTGTCCCTCTTAAGTCAAATTCCAATAAATCTCAATCATTAAAATCTAATATTTTACTACTAAAAGACTCAATGACCTCCCCTCTTCAAAAGCTCAACAGTTTGGATTAAGTTTACTTTCTGTTTACCATTGAAATATAAATTTGCATAGTAAAATGATATTTTAAAAATGTATGATTGAAAAAGTGTTATTAAATTATAGTTTGGGTGGAAAAAAGTAGTTAACTCTAATTAAATTAAAATATTTTTATGTCTTCAAGGCATGAATTAAAATCAACCCAAAAATAAGAATCACAAGTTGAGAAAAAAAGAACTTTTATTTATTCCAACCAAATAATACAAACTGATTAATGGAAAAAATAAGGCAGACCATAAGAAAGCAGCTGCCCAAAATGATCCACCGTTGCGAGAGGCATGGCCTCATTCTGGTCAACAAAATCTGCAATAGAAATTTGATCTGTGTCTGCAGAAGAGAAAAATTGAAGATTTTTGTTTTCATAGTCATCAAACATGGCCTGTAGATTCTCAGAATCGTTTTGGTTAAAATAAGCTTCAGGATTGGAAATAGATTTCACCATTGCCCCCAATTCAACTCCCTGGTTAATTGTCTCTCCACCCAGAAAATTCCCACCAGGATAAACTGCATCAGAACTTGAAGCATTGTTGATTCCAACATCAAAATTGGCATTGAAAAAACTATTGTTCCCAATTTTCCCAGGAAAATCAGGATTGAAAACGGAGTTGTTATCACCATTCATAAGAATCTGATCAAGATGGGAAAATTCCGAAGCCAAAGCAGCGTTAATTCCATTACTAAAATCAGTATTGTGAACACGAATGTCGCCAAAAATTCCTGAAGCAAAGACGTTTGAAGACAGCAACTCACTTAATCTCATCAACGCATTTTCTTTCAAATTCTCCATCTTTTCTTCCACAACAAGTAACTCATCAATGGACTTCAAATTTTTCTCCATGTCTTCAAAATCATTCAACAACCCATCAATTTTTTCCTCTCCATTCTTCGGTTCTTTCTCAAGTTCCTTAATTTCATTATAGAGAGAAACGGCTGACCGTTTGATTGCATCATCCACTGGTGGAGGAACACGATTGTGAAGAAAAGCGTCAAACACTGAATAAACGGAAGGGTGTCCGAAAGAGAAGATGTTTTGTTTCGAACAAGGTGAAGAAACCACCATGGCGATTTCAGCTCCAGAACGAATGCATAATTCGGCAGCTTTGTTGAATAATCCATAACGTCTTTTAGAGAAAGTGACGGCTCTTTTGGCTCTGGTTTCACGTTTCTTCATTGGGATTTTTCTGCTTGCGGGCGCCATTGTTCATTAGCCACTTAATTTTGATTGAAGCTTGTACTGTTTGTGTTTGTTTTTATAAGGTTGATTCATGGGTTTGAACTGAATCCAAGTTGTGAACGGAGTTGGAGTAGCAGGTCCTTAATGGAGGAGACTTTTGTTCATTAATGACAAATATTACAAGAGATCTTATGCGGGTTGTCAAAATAGGAATGTTAATAATTACAGAAATAACAAACTCAAATATTATAACATGGTAAACACATGAACATGATAACTAAACGACGCCGCACTACCCAGCCGACGCCCCCCCCAATTATTAATGGGCAAAATTATATTTAAAAATGCTTTATGTCACCACAGATTTTATAACACGTGTTTCTTAAAAGTACTTTTAAAAAAGCAAACACAGCAACAAAAGAACTTTTTTCAGAATTGTACGAATTTGCTTTTAATAATTTCAATCTTTTCTTCTGTTCAACTTTTTTTTAATAATTATTGGATCAACAAAAGCATTTTTTTTTTTTTGAAAAACATTGCAATAATTTTGTATTGGCTTTATTTAATGAAGTTCACATATAAATTAACTGAATTTTAGTTTGATATCAGAATTCCTTTTTTATTTAGAGTTAATTGCATTTTTTTTTCTTTTAAGTATCACTAAATATGTTTGAATGGGTAAAATGTGAGGGAGAAAATTATACAGTAGAACCTTTTATAGTAATATTTTATATGGGAATAATCTTTATATAATCATAAAAAATTATAGTCCTAACTTGGACCAGTTATAAATAAGAATAAATTTTATATTATAATAAGTTATAATTTTTACAGGTCCCGTACTAAAGGAACTTGCCTCTACATAATAATAATTATATGTATATTGTAAAAAATATATGCTATATTATATCAAAGGTTTAAAATAAAATAAAATAAAATATTTATCTAAAGTTGTTTAACAATTATTTATATTATAAAATTGTTATCACATTTTTTATCTTCCAGGTTCATAATAAGTCGTCAACATAGACACTTTTTTTATTGAAGTCAAAATATTTCTAACTTTTGAAGTATGTTTAAAGCTTCTTAACATGAAACTTTTGGTATTTCTGTACTATCATCTTTAGGATTATCTCCTTCCTCTTCTTTTTTAATTCTAGTAATGTTTTTTCTTTAATTAAAACATGCATGACTTGTTAATCATTTGGATGATTGAGACACATTAATATTTATTTGATTAGTGTAGTGAAGTTGTTGAATCAGATCACTCAATTCTACAATAACTCTTTGATATCCATTTTCGTATTTTCCTAATGCTACTAAAACAATGAATTAAAATCTTAATACTAATAAAACCTGAATTATAAAATAAGAATTTTTTTTAAATAAAAAAATAATAATTGTAACTACAACTTTATTAAGTTATAATCTTCTCATAGTAATAAATTTAGTTGGTCTTAACATTATGACTATAGATAGGTTCTACTATAATTAATTTCATTTTAAGTAAAATTGTTGCTAACTTAACCATCATTGGATAGTCCGATAGTAAAAAAGTAAAAGAGGATCTAATATGATTTTTCAAGTTCAAATCTCTTTGATAATAAAAGAATAAAAGGATGATCTAATATGGTTTTTTGAGTTTGAGTCCTCACACCTGCTAATAGGGATAGTTATTGACGCTTTTACCCATTCAGTAATTTTAGATTTCTAAAAAATTAGTTGAGGTATATGCAATCAGACACCCGACTATAAAAAATAAAATAAAAATAAATAAAAAAGATGTTGGCAACTTTAACTTTAGAAAAAGCAAGATTGAAATTAAGCGAGAGATTTTAGCAGATTTAGCTATTCAATGAAGTAACCCTTTGATATCCACGTGTCCTCTGGTCAAAGAAAACATGCTCATCGCTAGCTGTCACCTTCTTACGAATCTTTCACAGTAATATTTTACATATGAAAATATGAAAATAATTAATTAATTAATCATGTTTATTAAGACAAGTGAGAAATTCTTAATTAATACACTCATTATATTTAATTATTTAATGGGCACAAGTTAAAAGACTAATTAAATATAATTAATGAGATGATGATGATCATAATGAAACCTATAATTAATCATGTGTTAATGATTGATTATAACAATAATAATATAATAGACACTGAGAAAAAAAAAATCTACTGCATTCTCGGGTAGCTTGCAGCTAAAGATAAATTATTGGAGAGAAGCAAATAAGATGAAGTTATGGATTTGGCAAACTTGTTTTCCATTTGCGTTGAGGAAGAGAATTGCTGATGGGATTGGGTCCTGAATGTACTTCATGCAAGTATTTCCTCTTGACTTGATCGTCGTCACCTTCAACAACTGACTGAAATTAAAACAACAAAGATTAAACTAAACTGATGTATATACATACATATACGTTTGCCTGAAAGAAGAAGAGATGATTACCGGGTTTTCTTGTATTGATGAATATTTTCTCACTTTCTGAATCCCATAATCTAATAAAATCAACAAGTAATGAGAATTTAAGTACCACAATCATTCTGGATAAGCAAAAAAGAAACAAGAAAACAGGTGTTAGAGAGAGAGAGAGAGAGAGAGAGAGAGAGAGAGAGAGGACCTTCAAGTTTGGTGATGGTGGTGGGTGAAGATGAATGAGAGAATGAGATAGATACTAGTAATAGAATGAGGAGAAAACATGAAGGGAAGTTCATTATAACTTTGTTCAGGAAATTTAAGAAAGAGTAGCTATACAATATATCTTTAGTACTGGAGATGAACAGAAGAGCTAGGATTAATTCAAAGTGATTTGGGTTTTGATTGGGAAAAAAACAAAGAATATAGTACAATTTGATCAATAATAGAGAAGGTTATGGATAAGCACACCAGTTTATCATCAATTATTTATCATCTCATCTAAAACAAAGCCAATAAAATACCCATGTAAACTCTTTGTGATTTTAACCCAAATTATTGCAACCTAATTAATTAGATTCATGTGAAAAATGTAAGAAAATATTATCATTTTTTATATTGAAGGTTATAACCATCATTGGATGGTCAAGTGGTCAATTAAGGCTTTTGAATATATTACTCAAAAGGTTTTAAGTTTGATTAACCTCAAACTCTAATAAGGGTCACCACTAGAAGCTTACTCGATAGTTAACTTCAAGGTCTCAAAGATTAGTTGAGGTGTGTATAATGAGCTCGGACACTCCTAGTAAAAAAAAAAAAAAAAAATATGGAAGACTATTAATATAATGTTTAACTCTTATAACTTTAATATGAGTGGTGTTATTCAAACCTCAGCTAAACTGTTTGTAAGTTCCGATATTGATTTAAAAAAATTATCCACTTAATCATTTTATGGAGGAGAAATAACAAAATGGTCGAGCGAGAAATAACAAAATAAATAATAAGATTTCATTGAAAAAGAAATCATCATTATACTGTTACTCTTTTTTATTAATATTATTATTTGTTAAGAATTATTTATATAAATAGTATTTTTTTGGTAATTTTGTGTATATAATATATTTTTAAATTATATATATATAAACTAATTAGGGGGCTTATTTGGGTCATGCCATCCACCAAAAGTATTTTCCCGTCCTACATTGCTTGACATTATTTTTAGGATTGGGCCGCCCAATGGGTTTCTCTTTGAAGTTGCGGTTGTTTGTAATTGTAGACATGGTGAAGTTTTAATGTATGAAACACAAAAAGTGATCTTGAGCTCACAAACATTTTTTAGCACAGTAGATCATATACCCCCTCTTCTTCGTGGCATAATATGTTAGGATCCCAAATCTACTAATTACTAATTATGGAACTAGCTAATTCCAAATATCGTCTTGACGGTTAAGAAAGTTTACTCATTTTATTGATTTTTTTTGTTCGAATCTTGTAATTATTTATCACATTTGTAACTTATTTTAAAACATTGAGTTTACAGGACATTCAATGAACTTTATAGATTATCAAAACACATATAAATTGATTTAGATATCTCGATTANCGTGTTTGGTCTTTAATTCTTGTGTTTATCGCGATTCGCCAAATATCGATGCTTTGTTATTAGAAAAACGATCAAGATTGTGATAACAAAGATGATCTGATAAGTGGACTCCCAGATGTAGTTCTTGCTCAGATATTATCTTCCATCAAAACTTGCTGCGTCCTTGCGTATCGGTGGAAGGATGTGTGGAGATGTGTACCTGATATTAACTTGCCATCCAGATCGGAGTGCTAGTGAATCGATGGCATTTTTTGCCACGGTGAACCATGTAGTCAGTCATCGCACCACGGCTCAAATTAGAAAATTCAAGCCCTCAGTTTATAGTGCTGGAGTGACTGAGTTGTATTGCATTTATTGCTGGATACAGCTCGTAATTTGGTGAAAGGTTCGCGAAATCGATCTTAATGTCATGGATGTTCGACTTTTCATGTTACCTCTGAACTTTTTACTTATAAAACACTAGCCTAAAAGCTGCAATCAGGATTGACTTTCTGTGTCCCCAGCTTGATCGAGTTTCCTTCTCTCAAAGTCCTCCATGTTAAAGGTAATTTAACTGAAGAAATGGCGGAGAGACTCTTTTCTTGCTGCCCGGTGCTTGAAGAGTTACTAATTGAAGGATACAAAGAAGGTCATGTAGCTGTGAATTTAAAAATTGTTGCTCCTGTTTTGAAGAAGCTAAATATATTTTTAGAATCTCATATTGGGGACCAGATTGTTATTGATGCCCCTGAATGTAAATATATCTGCCTTCTGTTCAATTTTAAACTTGTTAAGAGCCTAATGTCACGCACTTAACTTCTTTGCTAAGTTCGTGCGGCCTTAACTCGGCGGAAATGAGTTAAACAGTCTAACGCTCACACAAGTTTACAAGCTCAAAGTATAAAATTGAGAGAGAAGTTTAGAGAAAATATAAACTCTGTATTGAAAGGATTCAAGTTATGAAATTTACAAAGGAGGGGTGGCCTATTTATAGGCTAAATCTCCTCAAAGAAATGATTACATACATCGAATACTTAGTCCTTAAGTAAACTTAATCCTTAAGTAAACATTAAGTGGCACCCTTAGGTGGCAACCTTAGGTGGATGGATAAGCATTATCCTTTAAGTTTCTTTGCCACTAAGTTTACTTAACTACGAAGTATACTTAGCCACTAAGNATGAATATAAACGGCTGAAGAAAACCACGCAATGGTCAAGAGAGAGAAAGTAGTAAAGATCCTTTTTTAGTATTTAATTGAAATGTGCTTTTCATTGTATATAGAAAGTAGTAATACAAAATTTATATATAAAACAAAAATGTTGACAGAATTAGAATTTCTAAACTTTGTTAATGTCTATCTTTTACGCCATATCAGTTCACATTTTATCGGTTTATACATTGAATTATATAAGAGTAGTGATAAACAATTTTAGATGATATACCAAAATAATTTTCAATAAAGATTTACTCACAATTCAATCTTACAAACTTTCTCTCACAACTCTAATGTGACAATTCATAATTGATCAGTTTACAATTGGGTATATGAGACCTATTATTGGGCAAGCAGAACCTATTGCGAGTTGTCACGTCGACGTTATAAGAAAAAGTTTGTGTTATTGGATTGTAAGTGTACTATTGTGTAATAATTTTTGTGTCAAATAAAGTTTTATCTTATACCTATTAATATCAAAAGATGTAAGATGACATAGAAGTGAGACGTCTCTCTCTTGGTTTGCGACTTTTTCCCACCCAAGGTTTGCCTTAATGGTCTTTTCCTACTCAAAAAGTTTTAAAATACCACTTTCTTATCTAAAGTTTATATTCCGTTAACCCAAAATATATTTCACTTTCTCAGCCGGTGTTCGATAAGTTACTAAAAGTCAGGGTAAGAGGGGTTTTGTATAATAGAGGTCAGTAGATCGAATGGTGGTGAACTGGTGATTAATTAAATATTCGCCTCAGAAATCAACTAAGAACATAAAACTCTAGTTTTGCGATGACTGATAAATAACGAGAAATTATGTGTTGCAACGAGAAGAGTTTTATAGAGAAGAGATCGGGGGTTCAAATGGCGATGATGGAGAAAATTTTTGCAGCTAGAATCGGTTTTAAATAGTAACGGAATATTAACTTTGGATGTGAAAGCCGTATTTTGAAATTTTTTGGGTGAGAAAGTTCATTAAGGCGAGCCTTGGGTAGGAAAAAGCCGTTTACTCGCCTTAAGAAGGCCTTGATGCTACGTATGTGACATCCAACCATTATATCAAATCATGTTTTATCTTATTTACACTTGTCCTCAAAACATTTTAATAAGGCCCACACCATCGCTTTCTATTGTGCATATTCACTCCCTATTTTGTATTCTTATACGTGTAATGGTTATTGTAGCTTGTACGTTTGGGACCTCATGTATAAAAGCAGAGTACAAAAATATTGAAACGTGTCAATAGTTGGATTTTACGATATATGGGTGTAAATACCCTAGACCTAGACCCAAAGCTAGGCATTTGAGATCGAGTCCAAAAACCTGATCAATGATCAATTTTAGTAGGCCCAGTTTCAAAACTGGACCAGGCCTAAGGAAGAGGGCTCGATCCTTCCATTGGGCCCTCCTCCAAGGCCCCGGCCCAAACCCTTTTGGTTTATTTTTTTAGTCTGTGAACAATTACATAAAACCTCCTATAAATTTTAAAATACATAAAAATTGTAGGAGTTAAAATAAAATTTTACAAAATTAAAAAAATTTGCATTTAAAATTTTACAGAAATTTGCATTTTAAAATAGACAGAGGATTAAAACTGTATTTTGTCCTGCATATACCCCTATTAGTAGAAGTACAAGTAGAAGAGATATGCTAAAACTTTATAACAAAATAAATAATAAACTTAAAAATGAATTTCAAAATTTTAGGAATATATCTATTGCATTTACATCCGACATATGGGCTTGTAGATCAAAAACAAATTTTTTAACTGTCACAATACATTTCTCATATCATAGTTGGGGTTTACAACAAAAATTGATAGGTTTTAAACCATTATATGAAAAACATAGTGCTGACACTATTTATTTTGGCAATTCTTGAAATTTTGCAAGAATATGTATTAACTGATAGAGTTGTAGCACTAACGCTTGATAATGCAGCTGCTAACACCGCGACAATCTCTTTATTTGAAAAGAGATTGAATTCGCGTGGTGAAGGCAATTTTTTTCACCAGAGATGTGCTTACCACATCATTAATTTGATTGTTAAAGCAAGTTTAGATGCTATACATTCGAAAATGGAAAGGGTGCGCGTGGCTATCAGATTTATCATCGGCGGTAGCAATAAAAGATGGCATGAGTACTTCAAATATTGTAGGCAAGAGGACCCATTGGTTCGACATTTAAAGTTATGTACAGACATATCTATCTATTGGAACTCCACCTACTTGATGTAGGAAAAACCTTTGCCAACCGCAATACAAATTACAGATTTAGTCAACTGGAAGAACCGTCTAGAGGAAGTTGTCAGCTATGATGATTAGACAGTTTGTGAACTTTTTTATTCATTTCTTAAAATTTTTTTATGATTCCACTAATACATTAAGTGGTATTTATTATCCGACTACTAATTTAGCGTTAGATATTTTACTTCAAATTTCTAAAACTTTTGCTAAATATAGATATAATGACGTTCTAATGGAAATTACTTTAAAGATGGAAGAAAAATACGAGAAATATTTGTTAGATATTCCATTTTTATATGGATTATGTCTTTTTGTAGATTCTAGGTTTAAATTACACGTAGTTAAATGTATAATTACTTAGATATGCTAGCATTTAGGAAATGATTATACGTCTTATTTGACTGACTTTAAGCAAAATTTGGAAAAAAAAATTTCTTTATATCAGAACATGTACAATGGAAGTAGAAGTGGAACATCCAGGAGAGACGATCGACCTCTATCAAGGATCGAGCATGTGGACGTATATGGAACATGGCGAAAGTAGCAGCTCCAGCTCGTACATACATGGACCAAATGAGCTAAATCACTACCTACAAATGGACATGTACTACATGACGAAGAAGGAGAAACGTGAGATTGATGTCCTTCAATGGTGGAACCAACATCAAAGTCGATTCCCTATTGTAGCCAAAATGGCACGTGACATTTTATCTATACCAGTTTCTACAATTGCATCTAAGTCAGCATTTTCAACGAGTGGCCGGATTGTTGAAGACAGAAGATGCTCTTTAACCGAAGAGATGATTGAAGTGATAACTTGTTTACGGGATTGGACTCATGCTGAGAGAAGACTGCAGTAGCACCCTAAAGATCCTGAACTACTCGATATAATGACATTTATATCGAGTAGTTCAGGATCTTTAGGGTGCTATTTTGCTAAATATAGATATAATGACGTTCTAATGGAAATTACTTTAAAGATGGAAGAAAAATACGAGAAATATTTGTTAGATATTCCATTTTTATATGGATTAAGCCTTATTGTAGATCCTAGGTTTAAATGACACGTAGTTAAATGTATAATTACTAAGATATGCCAGCATTTAGGAAATGATTATACGTCTTATTTGACTGACTTTAAGCAAAATTTGGAAAAAAAAATTTCTTTATATCAGAACATGTACAATGGAAGTAGAAGTGGAACATCCAGGAGAGACGATCGACCTCTATCAAGGATCGAGCATGTGGACGTATATGGAACATGGCGAAAGTAGCAGCTCCAGCTCGTACATACATGGACCAAATGAGCTAAATCACTACCTACAAATGGACATGTACTACATGACGAAGAAGGAGAAACGTGAGATTGATGTCCTTCAATGGTGGAACCAACATCAAAGTCGATTCCCTATTGTAGCCAAAATGGCACGTGACATTTTATCTATACCAGTTTCTACAATTGCATCTAAGTCAGCATTTTCAACGAGTGGCCGGATTGTTGAAGACAGAAGATGCTCTTTAACCGAAGAGATGATTGAAGTGATAACTTGTTTACGGGATTGGACTCATGCTGAGAGAAGACTGCAGTAGCACCCTAAAGATCCTGAACTACTCGAACTCTTTTAGTGATGGCAATGGGCCGGGCCGGGATCAGGTACCCCTTGGCCCAGGCCCAAGCCCGACCTCATAACAAAGGCCCAAGCCCGGCTCGGGTCCATCATGGGTATGACAAGTAAAGCCCAAGCCTGGCCCAACGGGCTTTTTGTAACCTTAGGCTTGGCCCAAGCCCGCCCATTTTTATAATGTGACTTTTTAAATATTAATAAATTTCAATTTTTTTTTAAATTTTTAATACTAGAAACAATTTTTAAATATTAATTTATTTTTGAACACTCACCAAATATATAAATAACTTTCCACAAAGCTTATCCATCCATCCATGTAGGGTTTTAGAAAAATGAGTATATATATGTAGGATAATCTTGTAATTAAATATATAGTATAAGGGTAATTTAGTATAATTAATACTAAAATTGTCGGGCCGGGTCGGGCCTGAAGACATACCCAAGCCCAACCCGTACCTGAGGTCGGGCCTTAAAATCAGGCCCAGGCCCAAGCCCAAACCCGCAAACATCGGGTAAAGCCCGACCTTTTCGGGCCGGGCCGGGTCGGGTGCCCGAAAATATCGGGCCCATTGCCATCTCTAAACTCTTTATAAGGAACAAAGATTTTAATGATTTAAATATTGTTGACGATGAAAATAAATAATTTAATAAAAAAATTATTTAATTATTTAATTGTTTATTTGTGAAGCGTGAATGTGTGATTGTGTGACTATTACATTTATGTTAAAATTAACCATTAATTTATTATTTTTTTAAATTAATTAAACTTTAAAAACTTACTAATCTACCCTTAAAAATTACAAAAACCCCCTACAGAATTTCATTTCGCCCCTAAAATATATATATATAAAAAAAGACAGGGCGAAAAATGAAATCTTGTTGGCCCATAGGACCGGCCTTAGGGACTAGTCTGGGTTTTGAAATTGCTCATGGGCTTGGGATCAATCCTAGGCCCATGAGTGACTAGTCCCAAATGGGACCGGTCCTTGACGAGCTCTACCCAGATCGGGTTTGCCTGGGTCAATTTTAAGAATGCAAGGCCTAGTTAAAATGTTAAGAGATGTTTTTCAAATTTTACTAGATGGACGAGGGATGGGGTAATTTTCTAAGGGTCTGCTTGGGAGTTTCAGGATAGCGGTTATGAGAGTGAACCATCGTAGCGGTTTTGAGGGTAAACCACCGTAGCGGTTTTGAGGGTAAACCACCGTAGCGGTTTTAAGGGGTTTTTAGTAGCGGTTTTTAAAACACCCAACCTGTGCTTGGGAGTTTATTTTCCAGCGGTTTTGACAGTTTTTTAAAATGATAAATTTACATATATATCCATAAAGTTAAAACACTCTCTTTTGCTTAATTAACTTTGATAAATACAAATAATGCCTACATTTTGGCTCAACTTTAAAACATTTGCTTAATTCAATTTTCACACAACAGCTTTTATTAACTTTATAATTAATTCAATTCCTACATCAAAAGTAAAACATGTGAGCCATAAGTAATATATTTAGCTATGATATAATTTTCGAAAGAATTATAAATTCATTCTTTTGTGCAGTAGTTAACATATATCTCTCTTTGGATCCTTTTTGCTTGTCTACCCTTTTGCCGTGTATAAAAACATGAAAAGAGAAAGCCTATCTTCCTTGCTGAAAGTGAGGAGAGGCAAGAGAATTGTGTGCTAGAGAGAAGTGAACAGCAATGACAGATTTGAGAGATTTGTGTGCTAGAGAGAATCTACAGCAGCGACAGATTTGTAAAAGGGAGTGGAAAGGGGTTTTTTGGGGGATAAAAGTTTTAAACCAGTCAAAACACCCAAATTTGGGGTGTTTTATAAACCCCTAAAAAATACACTACACTGGTTTTGGGGGGTTTTTAAACCCCTCAAAACCAGCCTATTAAAAATCTGGCAAGTAGAGGTTTTTAAATACCTCAAAACCAGTCTAATTAAAAACCCCCCAAAACCAGTGAAAAAAAAACTCCCAAGCAGACCCTAAAGGGTTTATAGTAATTTACTTAATAAGAGGCTGTTGGATTGGATGTACTTTATTTTGTTTTATAAGTTAGGCCGAACGACATGCACCCACCTATAGTTTGCCATAAAGACAGTTGGTACCCAAAAGGTTTACAAATGACAAACAGCTACTTCCCGTCAACGTCTGTTAGTGAATTCCGTCTGAAGAAGGACAGTGTGGTAATTTTGCATTCAGCCAAAAAAAAAAAAAAAAGGCCACTTTCCTCTGTTTTCTTCAAATTTTTCTTTACTGCTGTGCGCCTCCAAATTCATCTCCCACTGCTGTGCCAACTTCAACACCTGCCACCATTAGTCCACCACCATCATCACAACCATCTTCTCTACGTCCTATAACCTCCTCACCTTCTGAGCTCAATGCAAATCAACGTGACCTCTCCACACCTTGTACTCCATCACCTCCCGCATAACCACCTGTCTTACCACCACCTCCTCAAAATACATCTCCACCCCCATTGACATCTACACCTTCTCCCCCTCCTCCTCAACAATCCATTTCACCTACATCACCACCACCGTCTCCACCTATGTCTAATCCACCAACCAGTTCATCTTGACCACTATCACCACCACTAATAGCATCCAATCCACCAACGAGTTCATCACCCCTACCACTGCTAGTATCTAATCCACCAAGGAGTTCACCTTCACCACCACCAGTATTTACTCCACCAATGAATTCCCCTCCACCACCACCAGTGGCCAATCCACCAACAAGTCCTCCTTCACCTTCAAATTCATCTCCATCACCACCATCTGATCAACCAAAAGCTTCACCTCCACCACAAACATCATCTACTCCACCAAATAGTTCCTACTTGATGATAAATATGTTTTACCCAAGTAGTTAACATTTCACAAGAAATTCTTTTACCAGTACAAGAAACCTCCCTTTTCTTGAATTTATAAAAATATAAATAAAAACACGATCAAAACTCCAGATTTTAATAAAGATAGACAGTAATACACAGGGCTAGAAACAAATAATATAAATGTCCTAGTAATTGTTATCCTGCATAGTGTCTGCCTGCTACTGCTCCCATAACAAGCTTCTTGATACAGTGCTGATGGACGGGTTCAACGATTCCAACAAAAGAGGGGAGAAGGGAGAAGCGGCTGGCCAAAGAAATAAGAAAAAGAGGGGAGAAGGAAGGGAAGAGAAAAAGAAGAAATAGGAGAAGTGGCTGGCTAGATCTGCAAAAGAGAACAAAAAAATTGAAGAGGAAGAGAAGAAGAAAGAAAAAAGAAGAGAGAAGAGGATGTAAAATTCTGCTGCTTTCTTTGGAAGGGGCACAATAGAAAAAAAAAGAAGAAAGAAGAAAAGATAGGAAAGTTGCAAAATTACCACACTGTCCTTCTTCAAACGAAACTCACCAACAGATGTTGACGGGAAGTAGCTGTTTGTAATTTGCAAACCTTTTGGGTACCAACCTCTTTTTATAACAAATTGTGCGTGGGTGCATGTCGTGTGGCCTATAAGTTATATACCCGAGCTCGGGTCTGGCCTACCAAAACCTTGGCCCAATTTTCCAGTGTCGGACCGTTTAAATTTTTTGCCCAGGCCGGGTCGGTTTTTCTTTACATCCTAGTTGGAGTGTCCAGTTATCCACATCAATTTGACGTAATAGCCTAAATCAAAGGCACGAATATGTAAAATTAACATCCGTGTTAATTAACAGGAACCTACAATCCATGCATTGAACAAGATATAGAGGCTGTCTTAATCTGAGTTTTTATCTTATCAATGAATCATTAACATCCACATAACTATAAAACTGAAAGTAAAATTAGATCAATAAGAGATCCTGATTCAAACTATAGATGTTTTGTACTAGTAAGTTAATCCACAATATTAGTGTTCTTAGTTCTATCGTGAAGAACTATTAACTGCACAATAACTCAAGGACTATGTACACAGTTTTATTAGGCCATCCAACAATCTAAGACAGCAGAACCCAGAAGAGGTATGCAAAATGCAGATCAGTCACCAAGGAGCTGCAGCCAGACTTTCAAAATCAAGCTGAGCATTCTGAATATCCTGGTTACAAACATCCAAATCTGATTTCAGTTCAGTAATCTTCGAATCATTTTCTAGCATAAGTAACATAATCTTTCTCTTCTTTTCTTCTAATAACTTCATTCCTTCAACAACTTCAGCAAACTCTGCATTGATTTTCATTTGCTCATGAGTGTGTTCTAAGATCTGATGTTCAAATTCTTTCGAAACCTCTTGAAGCTGTTCTTGTCTATCTTTCATTAACTGCAGCTCAGTCAGACGATTCCGTATGGGCTGAACGTCAAAGCCATGCAATTCTATGTCTTGAAGAGTTTCAGAAATGCTATCAAAGATGCTCTTTGGGTCATTGACTTGTAAATCAGATGTCCGCTTTACCACTTTGGCAAAAGTTATCATGTAACCAAATGCTAATCCATCGAGAAACATCTCTTTGCATTGTTTTAAAGGATGGAAGTGAGGCTTCTGTGGCATTGTTTCCAATACTTCTACAGACTCAGAAAAAGTTTTCCGCATTGATGAAGGATCCATACCAGGGAAGCACTGATTCTCATCTCTTACTCTGTCACCGGCTGAGTCGTTTGCGGTAGATTCCTTTACAATTTGAGTTAGTTTTCCTTTAGCCTTATTCCTCTGGTTCTGGTTGATAGTCCTACCACAGAGAAACCCTGGACAAGAAAAACCAAAACCAATTTATCAAGCCAACTATAACAAGTGGGACTAGATTAAAACTCACATCAGCTTACTTGAGTCTATCATTATTTTTCGATTGCATAACTCATCAAACCACATTGATATAGGTTTAGCAGCAGTATCCATGTCGCCCGGTAACTGTACAATGGCCATCTCGGCTTCTCTCGTACTGCAACCTGTATCAGAAATGTTAGCTGCTTTTTCTGCTGATGCATCTTTAGAACCTGAAAAATCCATGAAAGGAGTTAAATCCAAAACGAGCAAAATCCAAACAAAAGAATAAATACACCATATGCTAAACAAAAGGATAAGAAACCAAGGCCCAACTATTTTATTTCAATATGTCTCCCAGCTCAAAGAAAATGAAATGCTTGGCTTTGATTATGATTAGCAATTTAGCACAATATCTAGGATGTGCAACATCAGAACTTATCTCATCTTTCCTTTCATGGTAATCATTCTCAGGATATGTCAAGCCTCCCACAAACATTGATTTTTATGAGAAAGGAGACGGTATTTCATTTCACTAATTACAAAAGTTTTTATACCACATATGCGGTTAATTGTGTAAATGTTGCACAATAGCTGAGGAAACATGTAAACAAACTAGTGGACTGCTGTAGCTGATATTCAAATATGTTTCACAAAAGATGCAACAAACATGATCAACTAGTAATTTAAGAACACCTAGTGTCTAAGTCTGACATTACAAAAAAGAAGAAAAGTAGAAGATCAACCATTAACATTTTTCTTCCGTAGTGTTTTTTCTACGGCATATGCTTGTCAAGTTCATTGCTGAATGCTGGTGCAACTTTTAGATATGGCAGTTTTTTTCCCCCAATGATAATGCACCATGATTTCGTAGCTATTTTAGTCTGCTTTATGGTTTATTCAAGATCCGCTTTGAAGTAGAATAAGCTTCATCACACTTCTCATCTAAAAAATCACAATACTTCTTAATGTGTAAGAAAAGAGTAATACTACACCAACAACCCTCTCTCACAACCCTGACGTGAGATCGCAATTAATTAGTGAGACCCATGCGAGACCCATGTGAGACCCGTTATGAACTGACCAATTGCAAGCTATCACGTTAGGGTTATGAGAGAAAGTTTGTGAGAGAAGATTGTTGGTGTAATATTATTTGTAAGAAAATGTAAATCTGAAGACATAACTGTAGCATCAAGTTATCGCATACCATTCACTTGAGTTTTTTTACCTTTAGATTCTGCTGTATTTGTTGGTGATTCAACATCAATAATCACAGGATACTTTAAAACCATATTATCAGCATCACCTTCAGCTCCATCATTCTTTGTACCTTCAAAATCTCCTATGTTTTTAGCCGACTCAGCATCAATTGCATGATCCTTGAAAGCAAATTTTTTAACAGAACTTCCAGCTCCATCATGCTTTCTAACTTTAGATTCTTCCATGTTTTCTGTTGATAATCCATCATCAATCTCGTGATACTTTAATAACAATTTATCAACATCTTCTCCTACTCCATCATGCTTTGTACGTTTAGACTCTCCAGTGCTTATAGGTGATTCAGCATCAGTACTATCATAGTCCTTCAAAACAAGTACATCAACAGTATCACTGGATTCATCACACTTTTTACCTGCAAGGCATAATGCATATTTATAGAAGAATAAAAAGAATTTATAAACCTGAAGACAAATTTGTAGCTCCAAGTACACCACTAGAGTTTGTGTACCTTTAGCCGATGATTTTTGTCGCTCTCCTCTCTTTCTTTTCAAACAGCCAGCTCGACCTTTCTTCTTTGCTATCTGGTTCAAAAGCAAGATTAAACATCATGCATAAGACAGAGTTAAGGTCAAACGAAATTTCAGGAGAACAAAATTTCACATTGATCTTTGCTGATATTCTTGTAAAAGTAAAGCAATATTTGCACTTACCAGAATATCAGTTTCTTCAGGATTAGCAGTGCCACTGCAGGGTGACTGTTCTTCATACTGCATGCCATCAAAGACATCCAGAAACAATATGATTAGATCGTCATAAAGGGGTGCTATTTTGTTTATTCTATTTCAGGGATTTATTGTTATAGATATTAAACATATTCGAATCAATGAACACAGACACTAGTTGAGTTGAGACAGCTGAATCTATTTCGGAAAATAATACACCTAAAACGGAATGGAATTTGCAGGGGATGAAGGAAAAATCAAATCTAACAAATACAAAGAAAAATGAAAACCCTAATTTTTAGTCAACCTCATTGTTTTATTCACACTCATAAAATGTGTATGGCACATGATGGAGAATTTCTACTTCCATATGAAACTAAATAACTACAATGAAGAACAATAAAATAGAGAACGCTTAAGAAGAAAACAGAGAGAAACCAACTTCATTTATAGACTTCACGCCTAAAAAGTTATCAGCTTTAAGAATTTTCCTTTCATTCCTTGCATAAAATCTGAAAAAGATGACACCTTTGACTCAAAACTCAAACAAATTAATCACCATATATACTCAGAAAGCAACTTCATTTATAAACTTCACCAACCAAAAGTCATCGGCTTTACTATTTTTAATTACATTCTCTGAATAAGATTTAAAAAATATGGCACCTTTGACTCAGAACTCAAAACAAATCATCCACCATACTCATAAAAACAAAAACTTTACGTAACCAACTTATATGAAGCCCAACAAAAACAAACTTAAAGAACTTGAATACCTTCCGACGGCGCAGAACCCGACTGCTGATCTTGGCCACCTGCTTTTGGGGTCGGATCCATTTGCCTCCTTCCCAATCCCAGTGAGGCCTCAACTCATGACGCTTGAAATGAAGCAACTGAGATGGGTTCTCAAAGTACACAGAGTAAATGTTTGACTCCTGGTTTATTTCCACAACCACGCCAATCCACCACCCATCAAGAGACATGGCATCAACAAAATCATTGACTTGAAGGTCATGCTCATCGTTTGGAGGCAAAGGCCTCACAAGAGAGGAGTTAACGTACTCAGTTAATGCCTTTCCAGAGCCAACATCACGTAGCAAAGTTTGGTACTCTATATGAACATTTTTAGTCCTTTTGTTGGGAGGAGAAGGAGTCAATCGTGGTGGTGATGGTGGCTTCAATACTTTGGCCACGTACCAAACACCTTTGTACCCATCTGAATCACTTCTCACTTCAACTAAAGAGCCTTTTTTGATGAAGGATTTGTCATCACCGCCGGGCATTTTCAGTTTCATTTTTTGTCCTAACAATGTATAAAGAAAATATCAAAGGTTTCTTGAGCAACAAAACAGAGAGAGAGAGAGAGAGAACGAGGTGTTTTATGCTTTTGTTTTGTATCCTAAGTTAGAATGCAATAGAGATTAAAGCCAGTGGATAACGATTCGTTTTCCTTATGCAGTGATACATTGTGCACGGGTGTCAGAGTTTGTGTTAACTCACTGCAACAAATGAGGAATTCAATGGAGAGAATTGAACGGAGTTTTGTTTAGAAGAATATTAATGGTGAAGTTGGTTGAGTTTTAAAAGTCTGTTTAATTAAGGTTTGGAAGCACTTCTAGAAAAATTAAAATCAAATAAACTATCGCCATTCCCCTCCACTAATCAAATAATCTAACATACAATGAATGAGAAATCTAGACTTCTTGTCTGGACTTCTAGTTTCAGCCAATTCTAGCTGTGTATATCATACACTACTTTGGAATTGTATGCTACTAAATATTTATGTTATACATTCAATGTAGGGAATATAACGATCGTATTACATCATTTATAAATCTAGAATATCATGGTTGTATTATATCATCTATATCACTATTCAATTAATTTATATTAGCTGTGAAATTTTCATTCTCATTTATCTTTATATTAAATGTGATTGATAGTCACTAAATATAAAAACTGCTTGGTATGCAAACATTGACTCGGATACCACACCTATCATAGACTTTCTCATACCACAACCTAATGAATTAGTATTAGTATCACTTCTACTTTTTTTTCTCTCTCTCGTTTATCTTTATAGTTACTGTAGTTAACAATACTACACTTACAATCCAATTTCATCAATTTTCTCTCACAATTTTAATGTAACAGTTTACAATTGATCAGCTCGTAAATGAGTCTCATTTACTTAATTGCGAGTTATTACATCGAGATTGTGAGAGAAAATTTATAAGATTGTGTTCTGAGCCAATATTTATTGTAATAATTAATGTTAAAAGGTTTGAATTTTGTTAAGAAGATGAAAGCATCTGGAGTGGGCCTTAATCAGGCGTTGCTCTTATACCCAAACCCAAATTCACTTTTTTGTTTTTTTTTTTAAAAGAATGCAAGGCTCAGTTAAAATGTTTTAGAGATGTTTTTCAAATTTTACTGGATGTACGGGGGATAGGGTAATTTTCTAGAGGGTTTTTCGTTATTTATTTTATAAGAGCCTGTTGGATTGGATGTACTTTATTTTGTTTTATAAGTGTCTCGATGTAGTTTCTAAGGGGCAATCATAATTTTTTAGGAGGTTGTTTATATTGTTTGTAATTTTTTAAAGAATAATATTATGTTTATAATCTTCTTTTACAACCCTAACGTGACAGTTGAGTTGACAACTATCACGTCAACTCTCATCACCCCCAAGACATTAAATGATTTTGATTAAACACGAACGATCGTTCCTTCATAAGGAAAAACTGTTTCTTATGAATAAACTATTGTTTGTCTTTAAGGAACGTCTATTCCTATTTAGTCAAAGTCGTCAATTGACGTAGTAGTGCCAATTGTACTGTCACGTTAGGATTGTAAGAGAAAATTGTGAAATTAGATTATAAACGTAATATTTTTAGCTCCGTTTGGTTCATTATTCTGATAGTTTTTAGAATAATCTTTTGAAAAAAATTAAATTGGGCGGGTATTACGATATAAGATTTGGAAATTAACAAAAATATCCCCTATGTTTGTTTATTTACTAAACACTCCTATAATAAAATATTAAAAGTTAACAAAAACACTCCTAACCTACCCATTAAATACGGACAGCCGGCCACCACCGCCGGAGGGTGGCCGAAGTGTTTTTGCAATTTCAAAAAAAAAATATTTGGGGGTGTTTGGTTAAATTAACAAATTTAAGAGGTTTAAAAAAAATTCAAAAATATAGAATAATATTTTGGGAATAATGACATTTTAGGCTCCGTTTGGTTCACTTTTGGGAATACGACTATAAGTATTCCCAATAAAGTTAAACAGTAAAATTGCAAAAACTCACAATATTATTCAATATTATTCAACTTTTTTTAAACCCCCTAAATTTGTTAATTTAATTAAAAACCCCTGAATATTTTTTTAAAAATTATAAAAAAACCCCAGCAACTTATATTTACCAGATTCCGACCACCACCGCCGGAAAATGGTCGGAATATAGTATAATGGCGTAATACCGGCTGAATCTGGCCAGTAGTGCGCCAATCTAGCCTTTTTCGGTCAGATCCACGATGGATCTGGTCGGAAAAGGCTAGATCTAAGGCCAAAGATCTAGCCGTCAATAGCCAGATCTTTGAACATAGCCAGTCGTCAACGACGGCAAACACATGGTCGTCGTTGACCATCAACGACGGTTGTGTGTTTGGCTGTCGTTGACGAGCAAATGCGGCCAGATCTGGCCGTCAATGGCCAGATCTAGCCGCAGATCTGACCTTTTTCGGCCAGATCCACGGTGGATCTGGCCAGAAAAGGACATATCGGAGCACGACCGGCTATATCGAGCCGGTCATACGTCGATACGGCAGCTCCGGCCACTTTCCAGTGGTAGTGGTCGGCTATCCTTATTTATGAGTGGATTGGGGGTGTTTTGTTAATTTTGAATATTATAGTTGGGGCTGTTTAGTAAATAAATAAATATATGGGGTATTTATGTTAATTTTTAAAATTCTACATCATAATACCCACCCAATTTAACTTTTTTTTTAAAAAATTATTCTAAAAACTATCCAATAATGAACCAAATAGAGTCTTATTGTTTTACTTTTTTGGGAATACTAATAATAGTATTCCTAAAAGCAAACAATCGGAGCCTTTGGCTTCGTTTGGTTCAAAATTTGGGGGTTTTGGGAAAAGTTTTTTGAAAAAAGTTAAAAAAAAGTTGAATTTGGCGGGTATTACGATGTAGAATTTATAAATTAATAAAATACCCTTTATGTTTGTTTTTTTACAAAATACCCCCTATAATAAAACATTAAAAGTTAACAAAAATACCCCTAACCCACCCATTAAATACGGACAGTCGGCCACCACCGTCGGAGGGTGGCCGAAGTGTTTTTGAAATTCTAAAAAAAAAATATTTAGGGGTATTTAATTAAATTAACAAATTTAGAGGGTTTAAAAAAAATTAAATAATATTGAAAATAGTATTCCCAAAAATGAGAGATTTTAGGGCTTCGTTTGGTTGGATTTTGGGAATACTACTTTTAGTATTCCCAAAAAAGTTAAACAGTAAAATACCCAAAAACTCATAATATTATTCAACTTTATTCAACTTTTTTTAAACCCCCTAAATTTGTTAATTTAATTAAATATCCCTAAATATTTTTAATGTTTTTGTTACAGCGACTCCGGCCACCCTCCGGCAGTGCTGGTCGGCTGTCCGTATTTGAGGGTGGGTTGGAGGTGTTTTTGTTAACTTTTAATGTTTTATTATAGGGGGTGTTTTGTAAAAAAACAAACATAGGGGGTATTTTATTAATTTGTAAATCTTACATCGTAATACCCGCCCAATTCAACTTTTTTTTAACTTTTTTCTAAAAACTTTTCCCAAAAACCCAAAATTTTGAACCAAACGAAGCCTAGGTATTTTACTGTTTAACTTTTTTGGGAATACCAAAAGTAGTATTCTCAATCTTGAACCAAACGAAGCCTTTGTTTTTTAAAACTTCTTCAATACCCAAGCTCGGGGCTGGCCCACAAAAACCTTGGCCCAATTTTCCTGAGCCGGACCGTCTATATATTTTGCCCAGGCTGGGTCGGTTTTCTTTACATCCTAGTTGGAGTGTCCAGTTTTCCACATCAAAGCCAAATCACGGACGAATATGTAATTCCACCTCATTGAGTTATATTGTTCATGGAGCCTATTTGCAACATGGGTAGTCACTGGGTGAGCCCAGTTACTCAGTAAAGCCAGCCCACTTTAAGAAGGCTATTTTTGCATTCTTTTATCGGACCCAACTTTAGCATCAAACAACTTGAGCATCAAAAATAAAATGAAAACGATGCCATTCAAGTGGGGCTGTTGAGAGTGATTTAAAAAAAGGTTGGATAAATTTGTAAGTTTGGTTTTTGTTGAGAGTGATTGCCGAATGTTTTATCGGTAAATTTGTCAAAGAAAAGTGTTGGAATGGTGGTGTTGCTGAGTGGTTTTGTTCCCCGTTGATTTGAGATTTGTTAGGCCCTAGGTATTTAAGAATTGTTTTAGGTGTTTGGATAGTTGATGCTGGGTGTAAAAGTGAGAATTTTCCCTAGAAAATTATGATGGATGAGTACTCGAGATCTTTGGCTAGATCTGACCTTTTTTAGCTAGATCCACGGTGGATCTGGTCGAAAAAGGCTAGATCGGTACACTACTGGCCAGATCCAGTCGGTAGTGCTCTATTACAGTAAATTTTGGCCACCTTCCGGGGTGGTAACTAGAATCTCACAAATGTGGGTGAGTGGGAGTGTTTTTGTCAATTTATAAACTTTTTTATTGGGAGTGTTTAGTTCAATTAACAAACCTAAGAGATTTAAAAATAATTGAATAAAACATAATTGGATTTTGAAAATAGAGAAACAAATATATATTGTGAATAGGATATGAATAGGATAGGGGAAAAAAAGTAAAACAAAACGTGTCCATGTATTTTTTGAGAAAAAATTAATATTTGGCAAATGTGTATAAAAGAAGAGGTCGAAACATTTTAAATAATGCTTAAAGTCTATATTTAATATTATTTGGGTAGTCAGTGATGATTTACTCTTAAGGTCTCAATTAAAGAAATTAAAAAAAAAAAAAAAAACATTTTAAAAGTTAAAAATGTGGTCAAAATATGTTTCATATTATAAGATATTGTCATATTAATTATTTACATATGAGTACAAAAGATGTGAGAGATGTGTTATAAATTAAATGACGAGTGTTTCTATCGTGAAGTCCAAAGTTCTCAATAATGCTTAATTTGTGACCTCCAATTCCAACCCTTTGAAATTCTTCTATTTTTTCAGGGGTTGTTAACAAATAAAAACCCCTTTAGGTATAATCAAATAAAAGAATCCCCTCTTAGTTGTAATAATAACAAAAGTTCACTACGTCGTTACACTTTTAGTGTTAAAATATGCGATAACGGGATAATTTCGTAAATATTTATTAACTTATTATATTATAAATTTTTTTTTTTTTGTGACCGGGAGTGTATAAGCCAGTTTATAGACACTTTGATTAATCATTCGAGACTCTAAAGTTAACGACTAAGTAAACCCTCGTATTAGTAATCAAGGGGAATTAAACTTAGAATTTCTTGAGTAATATACCCAAGAATCTCTATTGTCCCACTCGGCCACCCAGTGGTGGTTTGTGTTATAAATTCTAATGACTCGGTAACACTAGGGGTGTTTATGTTAATTTTTGAAATTTCAAGGATACTTTATTATTTGATTAACCCATGCGGGTCAAGAAAACCCCTTATTTTTTAGCAGAACAATTCGAGAATTATACTAATATTTTTTTCTCACTTAACATCTAAACGCCGACACAATTGCTTGTTAATTTATTCTCTTCAAATTAATTTCAAGTTAATCTACAATAACAACCAAGAATATATGCCTTTTAATTATGGGACATAGGCCACCTTTTATTAAAGTTTAATGATGATTGATTTGATGGCCAAAATTTCTGCTCCAATAATACAATAGAACTAAAATTATGAAAGGAGAATATATTGGTTAATTAAATTAAATTAAAATGAGAAATAAAGTTTATATTATAAGATACATATGTCACCATACTTCCCAACAAGGCATGACCATTGACAGATTATATTTTTAAAAAAAAATGGTGGTTATGATAATGAAAAGCCAACCTATTTTTTCAGCTAATTCAAGATTAAATTAATTAAAGTATGATTGTAATGTAACACCAAACTTATTATAGAGAGAGAGAGGGACAGAGATATATATATAATACTAGAGACAAATTAGCTGGGTGTGGATCCCATTCATTTTACTCAAAATTAGGGTTTATATAATTATTTGACCTGGTCAAGTTTGATTCTCCAAGTGTATCTCAATTGTTAGAGATATAAAAAGTCTATATATTAAACTTGATATGGCTACATTCATGATATGAATAAGAAGAATTTAATTTATATATATATATATATATATAAATTATGAACTATATGTAGAATGACTCTATAGTAAAATTAAAAGGGGGTTTAATTTAAAATTAATAAAATAAAAAGATTAATTAATCAATTAAAGTGAAGTTGCATGTTGCGTGCAGATTAACGTTTTAATTTGATAGAAAAGATTGAAGCATTTTATATGCTTTTTAATTTAGTGATTAGATGGAAAGTTGATGATGAGAATTTAGATTAGAAAGAAAGTGAAAGTTAAAGTTAAAATGGGTTGGAAAGAAAATAATTGAATCATTCAATTTCTTAAGAAAGCCTTACATTAACTTTAGAGTAAACCACATATTCCCACTCGAGGTTTAGCGAAATCTCAAATCGATACTCCTGATTGCATTTATTCTAGATTTTTACCCTTAAACTAATATCGTTAGTGACTATTGAAGGTGGTGGAAAATGGTGAATGTCTGCAAGTGAAGGTATAAGTTTTGTAGAGGAGGTTCTAGAGAGTCCAACAGTAGTTTTGGAAGTGATTTTGAATTTCAAAATCTACTGAAAAAAGCAAAAAATCATCAACTTGAACGCTGTTAACTTGATCCATTTTTTGTTAACATGAGCCTTTCTTTGGTCAAAGAAAGTAACGTGCTAAAGTGCATCGCGTTATAATAAAAAGTTAAAAATCTTAAAATAAAAGAAATCACGTTACTTTAAGGGTGAAAATATAAAATAAATATAATTAGAAGTATCAACTTGAGATTTCGTTCAACCTCGGGTGGGAGTATGTCGTTTGCTCTTAACTTAAATCATAACCAATAAATATAGCTTTAAACCACCCAATTACACCAAGTAATTACTGCTTAATTGCATTATTAATGGGCCATGCATAATCATTGAGTTGTAAAGGTCATTACTCATTCGTGGCTCTGATTTAGATGCCTCCACCCAAGACCCAACCATCACCACTTAATTATTATTTGATATCCAAGATGATTTACTGTAATATAATATAAATATAGCAATTTAATTACAAGCTACATTTCTTATTCTTTTGGCGATTGATTAAATGAGAATCCAACCATTATTGGGTGGTCGAAAAAATGAAAAGGAGAAAAAAAGTTTTATGAGTTTCTGAGTTTAAGTTCTTTAAGACACTAACAGGGGTGATCATTAAGGCCCTTATTTGATTGACAATTTCAAAATTTTAAAGAATTAATTGAGATGCGCACAAATTACTTACTACTAAAGCAGAGTTTTACTACTAAAGCAGAGTTTAATATAATTAATTTTCTTGTTTTTGTTATTAAATAGTAGTTGTTGAGAAACATCTCTCAATTACTTAATTGGTAAAACGCTTGGCTTATGCGCATTGCACACATTCAATTCATCACATCTCTCATTTCTTTCGAACTCATCATTTTTGACACTTTCAATATTCATGATGACCCTTTTGATTATCACATTCAATTAATTAAATTAATTAAACAGTCGTATTATATAGCTTTTGAAGTATGAACATGTGTATAATCCTTCCACCACGACAACCCTTTTGTTCATATTTCTATATCATATTATTTATTTATTCTATTTCTTTCTCGTTTTAGCATGGATAGTCAGTATATATATTGCCCACCGAATCAACATTATAAATATTAATTAATTAACTATAATTATAAAATTAAACAATTACCCACCACATATTCATATATATATACGTGATCAATCCTTCTTATTTCTTCCTTATTGCATGCCTACATATTCTCCCTCCCTCCCTCCCTCTCCCTTTCCCTCTTAATTTTCTTGTCTCTAACAATTAATCAATTTTTTAACCCTCCATGAAGCTTCATTCCATGGAGCTTCCTTTTCCCAAGAACCAAAAAATCCAAAGAACTCCAAAAATAGTTCTCCTCACAACCTTTACCCTAGTTCTTCTTTCCATCATTTCTCTAAATTTCCCTCTACCAAAAAACTTTTCTTTTTCACCTAAATCTTCTCCTTCCTCCTTCAATAACATTTCTCCATCCAACGATAACATTCACAACGATCATCGTCCCGATAATGATGACCAGAAATCTATACATGATCAAATCAAAGACTTTCTTAGCGCTCATAAATCTTGCGATATATTTTCCGGAGAATGGGTGCCGAACCCTGAAGCGCCGTATTACACGAACACGACGTGTTGGGCGATACATGAGCACCAGAACTGCATGAAATATGGACGGCCGGATAGTGAGTTCATGAAATGGAAATGGAAACCGGATGGCTGTGATCTTCCTGTTTTTAATCCTGGTCAGTTCCTGGAAATCATGAGAGGAAAATCTCTTGCTTTTGTTGGAGACTCTGTGGGTAGAAATCAAATGCAGTCATTGATTTGCCTCATTTCTAGGGTGAGCCTCCTCCTACCATTAGCTTTCATCTATATTTTACTGTTCGTCGTACATATATTTTATATTTAATATTCTCAGGTATAGACGTTGTAAAGGATTTGTTATCATAAACTAACATAACAATTACTATACATATATTGTGATATGAATAGGGAAGTTAGTTGACCTAAACCATTGAGTAATCGAAAGATTAGGTAAAACAATGGAGTGGGTACTCTGTCAATCTGGAAATTTGGCATATTTACTTACTCCTCCTCCCCTGCAAATCTGAACAACTCCTTATAAATTTATTATTTTCAAGACTTCGTTTTCTCTTTTACTTCAATTTTTTCGACCTTGAAATTTGTTTTTCACACTTTCATTAATTCAATTCTGAAGCCTCTCCACCATGAATAAACAAACTGATGTACAATCTCTTAATGACATATTTTGACCAAGGTAGAATGAGATTATCAGGTCATATTCATCAATTAAATAAAAAGGTAACCTCTCTCATCTGCTATTATTATTATTTATTGTTTTTCCTCTAATTTAATTAATGTGAAGGAGTCGTGGCACCTAAAACTCATGTGGATTAAGTGGTTTGATAAAGACTTTTGATGTATTATTCAAGAAGTTTTGAGTTTGAATTTTTTTCAAGTGTTAATAAAGGTAGTCACTGGAGCTCTTACTCGATCGATAGTTCTAGAGTATCGAATGATTAATTGAGATAAACCTAAGCTGGTCTAAACATCCCGATCATAAAAAACAAAATAATAATAATAATAATAATAATAATAATAATAATAATAATAGAGAATTAAGTATGCATATTAAGATTGATATGTTTGTATTATGTGACACTTTCATTTGACATTCCAACCAATTTTCATATGGCTAAGCATGATTAGTTGACAGTTTCCCACTTACTATTCTCATTAACTAATCACAAATATTGAGTTGTCCAACACCAAGTTTAGTAACGTGGGCTCCTTACCATATAAAAATATAATTTTATTCTATTGAGTTTAGGTAAATAGAGTCTCCACCCACCATGATATCTGGTCTTATAATTCAAACTCAATAATTTTTCAGACCCACCTTCCAGAATCTAATGTGACGGCGGCTACGACGATAATTTTATATCGACGGACTTACATTGTAGAGAAGGGGGCACCACAACCCCACACCCCCCCCCCCTGAAGTTTTAAGAATTTATCTTTCTTTTATATAATTATTTGTTGCATTACATAGTTACATATCTTTGATTTTGTTTAATAACTAACTTGTCCTTGATTTTGCATTATAGAGAAGGGGGCACATGCCCCCCTGATTTTGCATTAAATTAAGCTTAACTAACTTGTCCAATCTTGTGTTTTTTATGTTCTTACTTTTATTCTCTTTAGGCTTAATTAATTGACACCTGAAATATTACTATCAGAAAAATATTTGAAGAATTTTCAATGAACCATAGGAGGTATTATCTCTTTATATAAACTTTTAGTTTTCATGTTTACATGAACTATACAATATATTTTAAAAATTAAAATTCTTACTGTAATCCTATTCACAAAAATTCTGGGTGGAATAGTTTGATTTTAGAGTTTTTTGAATTCTAAGTTTTTTTCTTTGGATTGCAATTTCAGATTGTATATCCTGAAGATGTTTCATACACATCAGATGAAAGATTCAAACGTTGGTTGTACAAATCCCACAACTTCACTTTAGCCACATTTTTTACACCCCATTTGGTGAGGTCCAAGCAAGCAGACGCCAATGGCCCAACTAACACAGGCATCTTCAACCTCTACCTGGACGAATACGATGAAGAATGGACAACCCAAATCGACGATTTTGACTATGTCATCCTCTCCGCAGGCCACTGGTTCTTCCGTTCCTTGGTCTTCTATGAAAACAGCCAACTCGTCGGCTGCCGCTACTGCCTCCTGGAAAATGTCACAGACATGCCAATGTACTATGGATACAGAAAGGCCTTCAGGACGGCCTTTAAGGCCATTAATAGCTTGAAAAATTACAAGGGAATAACATATCTCAGGACTTTTGCACCATCACATTTCGAGAATGGACTCTGGAATGAAGGAGGGAATTGTTTGAGAACAAGGCCATTCCGGAGCAATGAGACGAGATTGGAAGATACGAACCTGGAGCTCTACATGATCCAATTGGAGGAGCTCAAAATTGCTGAGAGAGAAGGGAGGAAAAGTGGGAAAAAATTTAGATTACTTGACACAACACAAGCTACATTACTGAGACCTGATGGTCATCCTAGTAGATATGGGCACTGGCCTCATGAAAATGTGACATTGTACAATGACTGTGTGCACTGGTGCCTGCCCGGACCGATCGACACGTGGAACGATTTCTTGCTGGAGATGCTGAAGATGGAGGGTATTAAATCATATGAGGAGAAGCTTTACCCTGCAGAAGACAGAAAAATGAAGTTTAGATAGAGTCGATTCAAGTTCTTTTCATTATTATTATTTTTTTCTTTTTGTTTTTCAGGTCATTTTCATGTGCTTTTAGAGTTGTGTATTTGTGTCTAAAATTTGATCTAAGAAGTACTTTAAATTATTTGATATATAACGAAGGAAGATAGTGTATACATTAAAGAATTAACCAAGCAATGTGATAGGAGTAATGTTACGTCCACAACCAAATCTCACAAACTTCTTTTACAATCCTTCATAAAGAAACAACTATTTTTTATGAAAGAACAAGCATTCGTAATGAAAGGAAAACCAAATGAATGGCTAACGTAACAATGTCAACTCAACTGACACGTTGGAGTAGTGAAAGAAGTTTGTGAGATTTGGTTGTGGATGTAGCATTATTGATGTGATAATTCCCTTTTGGAAATGAACTTTAACAAACCTAGGGGGGGTGTGTTTGTTTTAGTATTTTTGATATTTTTAAAGTTGGGTGAGAATAACGAAGTATGATTTAAAAATTAACAAAAACACCCCCTAGGTTTGTTAAATAACTGAACACCCTATAATAAAAAAATTAAAAATTATAAAAACACCCCCACTCATCCATTAAATTCCCGCAGCCAGCCACCACCGTCAGAGGGTGGCCGGAGTCGTCGTATCAAAACACGACCGGCGAGATTTGGCTGATCGTGCGTCAAAAAAGGCCAAATCTGACTAATCGTGCTTCGAAAAAGGCCAGATCTGGCCATGTTTGGTCTTCAACGATGGGCCAAAGATATGGTCGTCGTGATGACCAACTACCGCCAAAGATCTGGCCGTCGTGATGACCAACTACGACCAAAGATCTGGCCATCGGATCTGGCATTTTCTTGCTAGATCCACAGTGGATTTGGCCAAAAAATGATAGATCGACGTATTACCAGCCATATCTAGTCGGTAGTGCACCATTATACCAGATTTCGGCCACCTTCTGACGATGGTGACCGGAATTTGGCAAATGTGGGTGGGTGGGGGTGCTTTTGTCAATTTCTAAATTTTTTTCTGGGGGTGTTTAGTTAAATTAATAAACTTAAGAGGTTTAAAATGCAGTTGAAGAAAATATAATAATATTTTCAGAATAGAGAAACAAACTGGTATTTTGGAAATAGTATGAATATGATAGATAAAAATATTTAAACAAACATGCCCTAGATTATACATTCTATTAAGTAATCTGTGTCGGTGAAAGCTTAAGGGCATTTGTGTATTTTGGCTTAAGGGCATTTGCCTTTATCTACATATATAACTGTATCTTTGATTGAGAAATATGCAGAACAGCAAAATCAATTTCGTCTTCTCTCCAAACACGTTTCTAATATGGTATCAGAGCTGTTATGCAATTTTTCAATAATCGCAATTAATCGATCCTAATCTCTTTTTTATTTCATAGCCCTAAATCACATCTTAGCCCTAATTCTTCCAATTCATCTTCAAAACCCGAATTGAAGGGATTTGCATAAATGGAGCAACAAGGGCAAACTATGATGTCATTGAGTCAAATTGATTTTCGCAATCCGCTCTATCTTCATCCAAGTGATACTCCTGGTGCAGTGATTGTTTCTCAACAATTAACAGGATTTGAGAATTTTTCACATTGGAGCAGAGCAATAATTGTCACGCTCACAGCCAAGAACAAGATTGGCTTCATCAATGGATCTTATACCAAATCCAATCTTGCTTCGTCTTTACACAATCTTTGGGAGAGAGTAAATGCCATTGTATTATCATGGATCTTTAATTTAGTATCCAAAGAAATTTTTGTTGGGGTTGTTTATGAGACAAACACAAGCATTGTATGGGCAAATCTCAAAGAACGATTCAATAAGGTCAATGGAACGAGGATATATGCTATACACAAGGAAATAGCCTCTATTAATCAAGGTACTCAAAGTGTTTATGCCTATTATTCGCGTCTTAAGGTCCTTTGGGATGAATATTGGTCCATGGTCAATTTGCCTAATTGTGCTTGTGAGGGATCGAAGACTTATCAAGGTCTTCAAGAACAACAGAAGCTTATTCAGTTCTTGATAGGTCTCAATGAGAACTTCAATGTGTGTAGGAGTACAATATTGATGATGAATCCATTGCCCACAGTAAATCAAGCTTATTCAATAGTCACTCAAGATGAATCACAGAGACAAATTCTTTAGACAATCCAACAATGAGGTTAGTACTACATTAATTTCCATAAATACTGCAAACAAAAGGGGAAATTACAAGCGCAAGAAGCCACTGATAATCTGTGAACATTGCAATAATCCAGGTCACAAGAAGGATAATTGTTGGAACCTTCGTGGATATCCAGAAGGACATAAATTCTACAAACCCAAAGGACAGTTTAGCACCAAAGGGAACAAGACAACAAATCCAACTTCCGCAAACAATTCAACATCTAACAACTCTCAAGAGCAAATGTAGATACAAGCTCCTGTTTTAACTACAGAGCAATACAATAATCTTCTCAAGTTACTTGGCAAAGAAAACACACAACCTTATGCAAATCTAGTAGGTACTTATACTAGTCTTTTGAGCTCCTTTAATAACAATAATTGGATTATTGATTCTGGGGCAAGTCATCATATGACATCAAACAAAAATCTTCTTGAAGATCTTGGTGTGTATCAAAGGTTAATAGGTCGTTTGATCTATTTAACTATGACAAGACCTAATATTAGCTATGTGATACAGCTCCTCAGTCAGCACATGCACAAACCCAGAAGGTCACATCTTGATGCTGCCATGAAGGTAATCAGATACATAAAGTTGAATCCTAGCTCGGGTTTATTGTTTCCCTCTTCTAGTAAATTGGAGTTACAAGCTTTTTGTGATAGTGATTGAGCTTCATGCTTAATGAGTAGACGATCTACGACATGATTTTGTGTTTTTTTGGGCAACTCATTGGTATCTTGGAAATCTAAAAAGCAAAAGACTGTGTCCAAATCATCTGCTAAAGCAGAATATAGATCAATGACAACACTTTCTTGTGAGCTTTCATGGATCATTGGTTTATTCAGAGACTTGGGTGTTGATTCATTGACCCCAGCTAGTATGTATTGTGATAATACTGCCACCATTCATATCTCGACCAATCATGTGTTTCATGAGCGAACAAAACACATCGAGATCAATTACCACATTACAAGAGAAAGGATTTTAGAAGGTATCATCAAGATTCATCATATCTCCACGATTGAGCAGGTTGCTGACTTGATGACAAAACTATAAAACTTATGTTACATTACATTACTCATGTAACATAAATAACCTTTTGATTTTCATCAGTTTTAAACCCTAATGGTCCACATTAGTTGTTCAGTTTTCAAATGCTTCAGCTTTCAAACGTTTGGGATTTATGGCAACCATTAAGCATGCCATTAAGAGCTTGATGGAAGCTTGGCTATTTTGGTCCCTAAGCTCAAGAACTCGATTATAATAAATTATACACCATCAATATTAGAGTGTCTTGAGAGCTTAGAAGAGCCAAAATATAGCTGCGTGAGTTTGTTTCAATGGCTGGAGGTAATTCTTGATTCCTGGTTTATAGTTTAAGAATATTATATTCTTTGTATTTCTGTTTAGATTATAGATAAATGTCTTACAGTTGGTATCAGAGACATATAATATCTCTGCCTTGATGTTTTGCAAAAGAATTTTTTGAAGCTCTCTATTCATGGCCGTTTGAAATTTTTTTTTTTTTTTTAAATCAAAGTTTGTTTTTTAGTTGTTTTTTAACGAAAATAAATGTTATAAATCATTAGGAAATTGGATTTCTATCATTTCTAGGCTTTGAAACAATTATTTTGGAGTTTAAATAGTGGATTTCCACCCGGGTTTGGCTATTGGGTTGTTTTCGGGTCGGGTATCCAATTACAGATCCGCTCAAAGGTTGAAGACGACTAGAGATGACATGTCATTTTTCCTTCAGTTTTGAAACCGACATGTCGTTTTCTTGTCAATTAAAAAAAAAAAAATTGTTTAGATCTGGGACTTGAACCCATGATCTCATGAAAAGAGGTCTGCTACTGGGCCAAACAGGCCACTTTACGTTTCTGTCATGTAATTGGTAAAATAAAATTTATACTATTTCTAATTCTGCTCATTTTAATTATGCCTATTATATTAATTTTGGTTTAATTATATGCATTTTTTGGATAAGTTAAATTGTGCAGAATCCTAAATTAATTATGCTCATATTTATCTTTCATGAATTGATTATATCTTTCTACTTGCAATTTTTGAATGAGTATATATGGATAAAGACATAATATTAAATGTTATGCATAATATTATAGTTTTCATTATGCAATATTTTTATGCTTATGAGAATATTTTGTGCATAATAATAACATATTAGTATTTGATTATGTAATTCGTAATATTAAGCTAGTCTTTATGGGATTTAATGTCTAGTGATCCATATAATTTTAATTAATTAGAGAATAGCCACAGCATCTTTAATTAAATAAAATTATATATTATGATTAATTAGGATCACATAAAGAATATTAGACATTAATTGTAATTAATTATACTTAATATAATAATTTTTTTCCCACAAGAATTTTTATTATATTTATATTATTAATTAGGATAAAATATCAAGTTATTCATAATTTACCCACAGGAATTATGAATTTAGTAAATAATTTGATAGTTTTATCATAAAGTTTAATCATAAAGAATAAATGAATCTGCTTGAATTAGAAATTTAGCCCACAGGCAGTTTTTATGTCATTAAATTCAATTTTTTAAGCATGATTTACATTGGTAAAGTATGATATTAGGCCTCAGTTTTAACATAAGCATGTAATCTATAATTTTATGCAGTCGTACAACCTGCAAATTTCTCTGATATTCGTTTTGATATCCCTGAACTTAAGGGAGATAACTATAAGGTCTGGAAGGAGAGAGTTCTTCTTAATTTGGGGTGGATGGACATAGACTATGCTATTAGGAAAGACGAACCACCAGCACTCACTGATACTAGTACTGTAGCGGACATCACGCTTTATGAACGATGGGAGCGATCTAATAGTCTCAGCGTGATGTTCATTAAGACTAGAATCTCTGCTAGTATCTGTGGTTCTGTTGATCAGCATGAAAAGGTCAA